CTTTGGTCTATTAGCAAAGGAAATATGCATGGAAAATGTGTCTTGCTATGTTTATTTTTTTTCTGGTAGGAGTCTTGTCTGTTTAATACATGTTTTAGTGTTCTGTATGGGAAATTTATTTTCCTTAATGTTGTAAATGGTGTTTTAATACAGAAAATAGTGTAATTGTTGATAATTTAAATCTGTATTTGGGAATTTTATCTTTGTACTAGCTGTTGTACTGTTCTTGCTTGTCATAATCTTAGTGATTAGCTCTAACACAGAGGATCCTTACTTTTCATTGTAAATATACTGGAACTTTCTCTTTAGGCTGGGATAAACATTCGTATGGTTATCATGGGGATGATGGACATTCATTTTGTTCTTCTGGAACGGGACAACCTTATGGACCAACTTTTACGACTGGTGATGTCATTGGCTGTTGTGTTAACCTTATCAACAATACCTGCTTCTACACCAAGAATGGACATAGTTTAGGTACTAAGATAATGTATTGCATGTAAAATAATCAAATATTGTGATTATTGTACTTACAGCACAGTAGTCATGTTTGTTATATAATCCTCCTTTATAAATAGATGCCTCTGGAAATTACTTTTTTGTTCCTTCCAGGTGGAGGTTGAGGAAATTGTGAAAATTTGTATTTTGTGAAGGCCACATTGTATTACACGTATAGCAATAACCATAGAAATGATGCCCATGCTCAGATATTTACTCCAGTAATAGAAATGCTAAGTGTTTGCTGCTTTGCTTTGAATCAAGCCCTTCACAGTATGATCTCTAGGTAGCAGGTGCTAAGAATGAAGGGCTGTCAGTTTTTAGTATAGTATGAGGGTAGGCACAAAGGATGGAAAAGCTTGATGCTGTCACTCAGGTGAAGGGCACTGACACACTAAAAGGTCAGGCCTCCTAACAACGATTGATGAAGGATGGTGACTACAAGTGAGTTTTGCAAAAGGAGCAGAATTAAAACAAGCAAATAACAGCAAAACTTCTGAGAATAAAAGGTGGCAATTAAGAAATAAATAAACGCAGATGAATGAAAACATGAAGAAACATGTCCATTGAAAGACTAATAGAAAATTAAGGTTCTTTAGTCAAACATGCACCTGTAGCACTTCAAATTTAAAATTGTGTATGGTTGTTATGCGCGCTTTTCTTAGAAATGTTTTTGGTGTTTATATTATAGATAAATGATAGATTGATGCTTTAAAAATAATAAGGTTTCGCATTACTTTTATTGTTTTAAACATCCTTGACTCAGCAAATTATTTTTGATTAGGTGGAGTGAAAGGAGGCAAAAACTGAGTAACCCCAGAAGACAGAAATTTCAGTTTGCTTATAAATAGTATTTAAAAATTAGGCTGCAAATAGTATGCTTAGACATAAAATAGATTTTAATATAGTTCTTTAATATAATACAAAAACTACTTTTTCTGTCATTTCTTAGTAGAAAATTCTAAACTTATGGCTATATTGATAATAGTTATTCTTTTTTAGTGTCTCAAGATGCTCCTAATGTAAAGTCAGTGTCTTCAAATTTTTATTCAGCTTAAAACTTTTCCTTCTGATTATTAATATTGATTCTGAAGTCCTGTGTTATCCAACTTAAAGGTTATCCCAAGTCCGCAGAAGATCCTTATATTCTCATTGATAGAAGAATGTTGATAAAGATGCCATGCAAATCATGTGTATTTGTGATTTGATTGTTTTGGCCAACTGGTTTCCAGAAGGATGTAGCCCCTTTAGTTTATCCATTGTTACTATTCTGGCTCTGATTTATAAAGCAGTTAACTGGGATAGTCTTAGCTGGCTTGGCTGCTTAAGATATGTATGACCTTGAATGAAAACAGAAGAAATCTGCTTTTAGGTATGACCTTTGGTTCAAAAATGCAAAAGACTTATTTTTAAAACCAAAATTAGTCTTTTTACAGTTCTTTACACTTTGTTCTAGAGAAGAAATTTTATTTTGCAAGGTGGGAAGATCATAGGTGATGTGACTTTATTTTTTTTCTATTAGATTTTCAGAAACCTTATAAACTGAAAATTTCTCTTGAGTAAGAAAGCTATTTTAAAGATGTGAGCTGCTTTTTAAGAAAAAGGTACCTAATCATGGAATCACATTCTAATTTTAAGTAAATTTGCAACGTCTGGCATTATTCCTAAGTTTAATAAATATGTTTTTTTAGCACAGAGAGAAGCATTATAACAGTGGTTAATATGGGTTCTTTGGTTGTCTGCGTTTGTCTCCTGGCTTGGGCCCTGTGACCATTTGCAGGTTAATTAACCTCTCTGTGCCTCAGTTTGTAAAATAGGGTCATTATGATACCTACCTTATTAAGGTTATTAGAGTAAACTGAAATGAGGCATGCGAAGTTCTTAGGTAATTGCCTTGCGCATAGTGAGTACTCACTAAATGTTGTTTATTACTGTTTGCCAGCCTCTGGGCTGGGTGCCAGGGACACAGTGGTAAAACTTTGGTAAGCAGAGATTACTCCTCTAGAGCAGAAGTCAACAGGCTGTGGCCCATGGGCCAAATCAGTCTTTCATCTGGTTTTTAAATAAAGTTTCATTGGAATGCAGCGACACCCGTTCTCTTCTGTGCTGTGTATGGCTGCTTGCCTGCTACAATGGCAGAATTGAGTAGTTGTAACAGAGACCATGCAGCCTAGAGAGCAGAAAATATTTATTCTCTGACCTTTTACAAGAGAAGTGTGCTGACCTCTGGTGCAGATTCTAGCATCTAGAGATAAAGTAGTATTCAAATAGTTACTGTTCCCTTGTACTTCTCAAAGGGGATAATTTCTACACAAAAGCTGACACATCTTTAGTTTCTGTGTCATGAAGGTTTTCACAATATCTGTTAACTTACCATATAAAGAGAAATGGAAAGGCTGACCTGCTGGGCTAGTGGTTAAGTTCACATGCTCCACTTCAGTGGCCTGGGTTTGTGGGTTCGGATCCTAGGCCTGGACCTACACACCACTCATCAAGCCATGCTGAAGTGGTGTTCCACACACAAGATAGAGGATTGGCACAGATGTTAGCTCAGGGACAATCTTCCTCAAGCAAAAAAAAGAAAAAGGAGAAATGGAAAGATTTTTATTTGAGAGTAATTGAAAAAGAAACATTTCGGTATCTAGGTTAACTTAATTTGAATTTTTTTGATTTTATTGAATATCATTCATCACCTGAAAATCAGTTTTCAAAAAGCCTTTTGAGAAATCAGGAAATTAGAAATATAAAAAATTGTTTTATGTGTAAAATTTAAATAATTATACCAACTTGTTAAAGGACCATCTTTTTGTTGTCTGAAATTGTATAGGTTGTGGTAGCTATATTTGGCAATGTTCAAAAATGTTAATCTATGGAATTAAGTTGGATTTTTTCATTAGAGTTTTTGATAAAGAGTGAGGATTTCAGTAATTACTGACAAAGGAATTTTTTTGCTAAAACAATATAAATTTAGACAATCTTTGTTATAAATAGACATCTTTAAGGAAAATAATTGATTAGGCTGCTATTTTGTGAAAAATGGTAAAGATATGTGTGATAATACTTAATTTATTCTCTGTTTTCTGTATCCTTTTAGTTTTCTGAAATTTATAGAATAAATTTTCATTTTTGGCCCACAGTTACTTTGCTTTCTATTTATTAATGAAGCTAAGCTAAAAGTAATCAGAATGTTCTATGGGGGAGGGGAATCTATCTTTGCTCTCCTTTTGACGAGCCAACATGAATTTACTGCTTGTTTTTAAAAGTCATAAAAACAGGACTTTACAAAGCACCATTTTTATACATTTATTTAAAAACATGTAGTAGAGATTTATAGTCAGTGTGTCTTTTAACTTTATTACTTTAATAAATAGAGTCAGATAGTTGTGTTTGCCTGCTGCTACACCACAGTGGCAGAGCCATAGACTCTCAAGTGGGAAGAGACCTTAAAGATAGTTTAACGGAAACGCCCTCATGTGTTAGCTGGTGATCAGCACTGTAGAGGCAGTGGTGCTGGTGTGGTTTCTTTGTTTTAATGAATATGTGGCCAGAAGAATTGAGATTAACTGACTCACCAACACCACCCCCTCCTGTTATCCAAGAACTGAGTCTTTTTAAACATATGAATGAGGTCCTACAGAAATATTTGGTTTATTATCTTATTTTCAGCTAGGTAATATATTTACATATTTGAAGGGAGATTATTAAATCATCACTTTGAGATTCCAGTAGATTTATTCCAGTGATATTGCTGTCTTTCAAATGTATTTGGAATATGACTGTGTTGAAATCACTGACAGGACATTCAAGAGAAGTTCTCACTGTATAAATTTTTATCTTTTGAAGGAGGAATTGATTTTTTTCTCCGGAGTAGTCAAAAGTTATTTAAGAGTGTCCTTGTATAAGAAATTTTTTTTAAGAAGCAAAAGTGCTGTATTTTCCATTGTTCACCTTTTTTTAATAGCAGAAAATCTCTCCTTTCCCTTCCCCCCCAAATTATTTAAAAGCTAAATTTAGGTGAGGAAGATTAAATGATAAAGCTGGATAAAGCAGTTGGGTGCTGGTCCAAAATCAACTGTGACTGTTTTGCAACCAGTTTTCTTATGTGGCTCCTAACATAGCTTTGAAGAGCTATCTGAAGTCATTTCAGAAACCCTGAAGGCCATAGCAGTACCCCAGAAATAACGCTGGTGTGTGACTAGCAAGGATGGTAATCTTGAGAGGGGACAGCATTCACTCAGACCTCTGTCAGTGTTACTAAGAAAAAATTAGGCTTGTTATTTTATGTTTAGGCTTTTAATTTTTTCTTATGTCTTTCTTTCCCTTATTTTTAGTTAGAAGTTCAGCATGTCACCAAAGTATGCCTTTGAAAAACAGCATCTAATGCCACTTTTTTTTTTTTTTAGGTATTGCTTTCACTGACCTACCGGTAAGACACAATTTCTTTTAAAAGCAGTTTTACATTTTTAATTAAAAGAGATATAAAGAAACTAGTACAAACCATGTTTAGAATGCAGTCTTATTGATATTTATTAGGTTTATATGTCATGCGTAGAATAGTGATCCTTTTTCTAGCCACCATTGCAGAAATTCAGCTCCAGGTTGCGCTGGACACCATTGCACGAGAGAACTTTGTTGTAGCTAAGGAATAAATCAGAAATGATTACTTAAAATATTCTCTTTAATGTCAGTATGCATTCATTCGAAATATGTTTTTTTGGTTATTGGGTTTTTCAGCCAATTATAGTAGTTTATTCAGTATGTGTGTGTCTATGTATATATATGTCTATATAGACACACACATATATACATGTCTATATAGACACATATATGTGTGTCTATATATACTGTGTGTATATATATACATATATACTGTGTGGCAGGTTCTGTACTTGGGATACGTCATTCAACAAAACAGGTAAATGTCTCTGTTCTCTTGGAGTATTCAAGCTGGAGAAGTTTGAGAATAAACAATACATTAAAAAATAAGTAAATTGTAACATATTTTAAAAGGTTTTAAGTACTTTTTAAAGAAAGAGAAAAACTAGAGCATGGGAGTACCAAAGACAGAATATGGTTATACAGTTTGAGCAGAGACTTTTGTGGAGCAAGAATGTTCCAAGCAGAGGCAACAGTTAGGGGAACAGGGCTAGAGCAGGATGGCAGCTGGCAGGTTTGAAGAACAGCATGAAGTGAAGTGGAGAGATGTGAGGAGGGCGGAGAGCGGTAGGAGAGTGGTAGGAGGCGCGTCAGGGACAATGACTGGGGAGGGCGAGCTACGGCCTCTAGCCCTTGAGGGCCATTGTAAGGACTTGGGCCTTTACCCTGAGTGAAATACAGAGTTTTAGTTATCACGATATAACTTTAGGTTTTAAAGGATCACTGGCTGCCGGGTGGAAAACAGACTGTCAGGGGTAGTAAGAGTAGAAGCAAGCAGACCTGTGAGGGGCTGTTGCAGAAATTCAGGCCGGAGACGACGGTAACTCACATCACTAGAGATGTAAGAAGCGGTTTGATTCTAGATAGCTGGTTTACCACATGTAAGATTATCAGTTGTAATACGCGTCATATATAACACCAAGGGGAAAAAGCTAACAACCTATGATACGATGCTTTCTTATCACTTAGAATTTTTATATTCACTGAATGATCTCTTGGAGTATTTAAATATAAATTTTTTAAATCAGTATCACTTGTTGCACACCTAAAAATGATGAAATAAGCAATATAAATTGATTAAGGTATTTGTCAAACTTCTTTGCATTTGGACTCCAACCTTTTAAACTGCTTTTTTAGAATGGATGTCTGTGGTTTTCCACATGGTGTTATCTTCTGTGCCGTCAGGAACATTTCTTACGAGCTCTTCTTCCATGCTGCTGATCGCATGGTGCAGGTTCTGATGCTGTCACTTTCTTAGTATTACCAGAAGGTATTAACTGAAGGTTTCCTAACAACAGCCAGGGCTCTGATATTCCTTAGTCAGTTGGTCGTTAAGAGGCTTGTTGACTAAAATGTCTCCTTGGTTACAGTATCCAGCTGTTTCACTAGGTGGAACAATCAAGTCCCAGTTTTCGGTGAGCTCGTTCTTTAACAGATTCCCACCTGTGCAGGCAGTGACAGCTGCTCCATGACGGCTGCCTGACCAGATGTAAGATGCCGTCGATTACAATACAGTCCAGTTCCAGATGTGTTTTGACAGAGGTGACAGGAGACCTGGGCAGAGAACAGACACCCAGTCTATAGATTAATATTCCTGAAGAAAATCCTAGAAAAAAAACAGAATAAATTAGAGTTGTAGTAGAAAACAACTTTGCTAAACCAAGGAAAATTTCGAGTCTACATGTAGACCAAAATTTTTCACCAAGAAGCATTATTTAATGAGCAGTGATGGAACAAGTGTTTATCTTTTTGAAAAAATATATATAATTTTAAGATTTGTGTCCATATTTATACCAAAGTAAGTTCCAGATGCATTAAAGAGTTAAATGAATAAATAAATAAAAATGATTTTTTAAAAAAATCCAACTGAAAGCAAAGAGGATTTTCTAATGGAGTGGATGTGACAATGTGAGAAAGAGGGTCTGACTTTTAAGATTTTTGGCCTGAAGAATTGGAAAAATGGAGATGCCACTTAGATTAGGGAGAAGGCCGTTTACAGGTGGAGCAAGTTTTAAAGGGGGAGATCCATTAAATGAGTTGTCAGATGTACATTTGGCTACACAAGCCTGAAATTCAAGAGAGTGATCTGGGCTGGAGATGAAAATTTGGGAGTTGTTGGCATTTTGGGGTTTAAATTTAAAGTCATGGGACTGAGTGAGATCAACAAGGGAGTGTGTGTAGACAGAGAAGAGAAATGGACCAAGGACTGAGTTCTGGGGCATGCCGTATTTGGGAGAAGAGAAGGAACCAGCAAAGGGAAATTGAGAAGGAGCAATCAGTGAGGTAAGAGGAAGACAAAGAATTGAGTGTTCTCAAAGCCAAGCGAGGAAAATACACCAAGAAGGAAGGAGTAATCACCTATGTCAAATACCACTGTGATACATCCCATAAGATAAGGACCAAGGATTGACCAGTGGATTTAGCAGAGCGGAGTCACTTGTGATCTTGACAAAGTTTCAGCAGAGCGACGGTGAAATCCTGATTGGAAAGGGATTAGGAGGGAAATTATAGAGTGTGGACAACTTGAGAGGATTCTCACTACAGTGGGGAGTAAACAAATAGGATGTAGTAGGTGGGGGCGGAAGTGGGGGCGATAGAAGATTTTTCATTAGATTGAGCAGGATGTTTGTTTGGTGATGAGAATGATTCAGTAGCAAGCAAAACAGTCTGTGTAGTGTAGAGAGAGGAAAAGTAGCATAGTGACCCTACCCCTTGAGTGGACAGGTGGGTCTGTGATGGCGTGTCCAGGTGGAGGAGGGCAGGCTTCAGAGAAGAGCGTCTGTGGTGGAGGGGGTGCGGAGAGTAGGGGCTCTGCTGGTAGGTGGGTTGATGTGGTTGGGACTGTTTGCAGAGGTTTTGGTAAGACTCAGTTTCATTTGGAGTTGGTTAAGGTGCTCAGTAGCTGGGGGTTTCGTTGTTGGTTTTTTCTCTTGTGGCACTAAGCAAGTAAAACCAACTTGTCAGAGCAAGCAGATTTTTTGTTAGTTTTTGTTTCTCCTGGGTAGACAATGATGGTCGTTGGGAAAGGCTTAGCTGGTTTTAGACATGTTGACTATTTTTGTCTTGCCTTCTAATCATTTTTTGTCCCTCTTTAGAATCGCCAGTTCTGGTTTTTGCCTTGTCTATAATTAGCCTGTGGTGATGTTCAGCTTTGTAACAGTGAGTGAAGTGGTGGTGAAGGTGGTTGTTAGAAGTGTCCTTTTAATATAGTGGTTCTGAGAGTTCTTTATTTTTATGACTGTGAGACCTTCTGGGACTTCCACATGCAACGTATCACTCTTCCACTTAAAAAGGAAGGAAAAAGTTGGTCTTTCCCTTAAAGGCACCGTGGAACATATGTTTATAGTGATCTCTCTCTAGCCAGTTGCGGCATTAAATCCTGGTAGAGAGCACCTTTTAGAGAAGTTCACCTAGACTGTTTCACCTGTCTTGTGATGTCAAGTGTTTATACAGTTTTGAAAACCTTAGAGCTTTTTCAGGATCATCTTTCTCCCCCAGCTCACCTCACCAATTTGCGAGATGTCCATCTGTAAATTGATTGATTCAGTTAGGGATTAGATAAATTCCTTTTGTGATAGAAACTGTTCTCATTTAAGATGATGCTACTTTCCAGTTCCTTAAGCTGATTTGAAATCTGCTTTTTATAGATGCATTCTTTGCTTTTCACTTTCATTAGAAAAAAATCTTTTAAATTTAATAGAACAAAACTGTGTTATTGAGAACATGATTTTATTTTGTTTATTTAGCTTTTGAGTAGTATTTTTAGTATCCGTCTTTATCTTTTTCATAGCTTAATAGAAATGAGGAAATCTGTTTTTCTATTCTCTTCATAGAGACTTAAATTATTCTCTCTTTTGTCTAATTCTACATAGGCAGGAGGTTTTTGTTTTTTTGTTTTTAATTTAGAAACAGTTTCCTGGAAAACATTGTTTTACATAAATCCATAATCTACATGCATGCTACAACATGGATGAACCTTGAAAACGTTATGCTAAATGAAAGAAGCCAGTCCCAAAAGACCATATATTGTATAAATCCATTTGTACGAAATGCAGGCAAATCTGTAGGGTCAGAAAGTGATTGTCAGGGCTTACTGGAATGGGGATATGGGGAATGACACTGATCGGTACAGGGTTACTTTTTAGAGTGATGAAAATGTTGTAAAATTAGATAGTGGTGATGGCCGCACAACTCTGTGGTGTACTAAAAGCCATTGCATTGTTGCATTCTACTTTTAGAAATCTAGAATCCAGCAAGTTAAAAATTCTGTTATATCTTTTAAAATTTATAGCTTCACCAGTTAAGGACTGTGTCCTTAATCCTTTTACCTCAAATTCTTCAGTTTTAAGGTTAAGTGGTATAAAAATTATAGTTACTTTTCATTTAGCCGAACTGACTTTATCATTTTCAGTTTTTTATCACTTTCTGGTTATAGAAGTAACATATAGTGTTAAATATTCAAATGATAAAAGAAGTGTTTATAAATACAGAAGTGTACAAAAGAGGAGTTCCTCATAATCCCAGCCTCCGTAGATGTGATAACTGTTAACTTGAGTGTATATCCTTCCAGATCTGTTTCTAAACCTAAGTTAGCCAGTATTCCGTTATTTAAATGTTTACAGAGAAGATGGGATCGTAGTTTATGCACTATTCTATAGCTTGCTTTCTTCATTTAGTGATATATATTGGACATCTTTCCGTATCAGTAAGCAATTTTTTTACTCTTTTTCCTTGTTTTTATAATATCTTACTGTAAAATGTTCTATCACAATTCTAACATGCACATTTCTTCATATTTTCACATTTGTGAAGTGGAGATGCATCTTAGAATATGTGGCCTGTCAGAGTTTAATGGGCAGTATTTTTTCTTAGGCATAAAATATTGGTATATGTTACAATTATTGGAGTCTGAGCTTCAATGAATGTGGTATAAAAAACCACCCTTGAATGAACACTTTTTAAAATTTTTTATTTGCCATTACAAATAATGCTGTAAGATGTATATCTTTGCACATGTTTGTTTTTCTGCAGGATTAAATTCTTACAAGTGAAATGGCTTCGTCAAATTTAATAGATTTTGCCAAACTTCTTTCTTAAAATGTTAGACCAGTGTGCATTTCTGTGTCCAGTGGTGAGAGGGCTTATTTTCTCAACCTTCATCGACACTGGGATTCTCAGTCTTTTAAATACTAATCTGATATGCACAGAGATGATCTTGTTTTCATTTGCATTTTAGAAAATTGAGCAAGGTTAAGATTTGGAATATTGATCCTTCTTTACATGTGTGGCAGGTTTTTTTTAATAATGTCCGTTTGTCTTGACTTTTATGGTGTGTTTTGTCTCAGGGAAATTTTAAACTTTTTTACGGCACAATTTTATTAAAGTATTCATGAATGTTGATTTTCTTTTATATTGTTGCTATAATTATTTTCCTGAATTTGTCAAGGAAATTTAGAGTAGCAAACCGTTTTAAAAGCATCTCTTGACAATGCTGAATGTCAGAATTATATCTGCTTAGGAACAGGATTGCCTTTTACTCTATTGATATCTTTATGAAGTGTATTTGGCTTTATATACTTTTGTTTTCAAGTATCATAATTTTTCAGTGGATTTTGATGGAAAGAATACTGTACTAGAAGTAGAGAGACATGAGTTTTTTTCCTTTATGTGTGTCCTTAACAAGCTCTGTCTTTTGGAAATTTCTCTCAAACTCTTCAGGTCTCAGCTTTCTCGCTGATGAAATGAGAAGGTTGTAATAAGTATCTCACTTATCTTCGGCTTAGAGTTCCATCAGCTTGCTAGTTTTGTTGCTGAGGAATCAGTACATTCGCGAAAATTGCACTACCATTTATTTCCCTAATACAGTGTGACTCTGTTTCTCAGTATTTTAAGACAGTACTCCTTTTGTTTCTGATTTTGGTTGCTTGGTTGATCAGTTGTTTTTAAACACATCCTCTTAGCTTTTTGCTGTGAAACTGTCTAAGCATCTTATATTTACACACAAATTATCCTCTCTTAATCCTTTCTGGATTTTGTGCTGGAAATACTTGTGATAACCATTAAAGCAAAGAAATAAGGCAGAAATACAGAGAACAAAGATGAAGTACGATTTAGAGTTATTGGAAGAATAAGTCAACCTAAATTTGGTGTCAGATAAAAACTGTGTTCCATGGGCTGGCCTGATTGCCGAATGGTTAAGTTTGCGCTCTGCTTCGGTGGCCCGGGGTTTCACTGGTTCAGCTCCTGGGCGCAGACATGGCACTGCTCATCAGGGCACGCTGAGGTGGCATCCCATATGCCACAACTAGAAGGACACACAACTGAAATACACAGCTATGTACTGAGGGGATTTGGGGAGAAAAAGCAGAAGAAAAAAAAAAGATTGGCAGCAGCAGTTGTTAGCCTCAGGTGCCGATCTTAAAAAAAAAAACAAAACTGTTCCAGTCCCACCTGCCATAGTGTAGAATGACCATGAGCAAGGTAATTTAA